ACTCGACTTTGCCACTTGTGAACACAACAAAACTATTCCTAACATGGACCTGAATTGACTTTATCTAACATGAGCTTGACTTAATTCTATCTAATATGAGCCCTACTCTACTCAAGCTAATGTGGACACAACTTTACTTAGTCCAACATGGGCCTTACTCTACTTGAGTTGATATAGGTTCGACTTTACTTGACTCTAAGTGGGTTCGACCTTATTCAATCCAACATGATTTATCAAACGTGGTTATAAATCAATTTGGACTGACCCAGACTCAACTTGTCATAACCTTAAGCCAACTTAACTATACTTGATATGGACTCGCCTTAACTCGATCTAAAGTGGCATCGATTCAACTAAACTCTCAACTCGATTAATCTTAAGGTGTGTACAAGTAAACACAACTTAAGTGAAAGTAATTCAACTTGACCTAAGATAGGTTTAGCTTGACTCAGGCTGATGTAGGTCTAAAATGGATGCTACTCTACTTGCCCTAATAGATGCTACTCTACTTGCCCTAATAGACCTTACTTAACTAATCTTAACTAGACTTTACTAGACTTAACTTGACTTAGGTCGAGATAGGTCAACTTAACTTAACTCGAGGGGGTTAACTTTACTTGGCTTGAAGTAGGCCCTAATCGACTTAGTACAAGGTGAATATGACTTGATTTAGACCAAGGTGCATCCTGCTCCATTCAACTTAAGTGTTCTCGATTCGACTCGACCTAAGGTATGTCCAACTTAAGTTGATTAGACAGTTTTCTTATTGACTTGTCATGGACTTAGGTTGACTCAAACTAACATGGACTCAATTCAACGCCCAATATGAACCTTATCCACTTTGGCTTGAATTAGACTTTGTTTAAGTTAGACCCAACTGACCTTCTTAACTTGAATCTGATCTAACCCTATCCATATGGACTTGGGAGTATCTTAAATAAACCTAGTTGTTGCTAAACTAGACCTAATTTAGGCATGACCCAAGTTGGTCAACATAATTCTAACCCAATTTGACTCGACATGAGTTATCTCAACCTAATTTGATAATTGGTCTTAACTAATGTAAATTTACTCATAATGAGTTTGGATTTAGATTGAGTAAATGTTGTTTATGCATATAAAATTTTTAAGTAATTGTTTTTTCATTTTTATTTTTCAATAATATTTTTACTTAAAAAATGTTTCATGGGTTTTTGTTGGCATTTTAGGTCCATGAACTTTTTCTTATGAGTTTTATAATTCTTGTAAACTTTTTTTACCCAAACTCATGTGAGTTAGAGTCAAATCCAATGAATTTTCCTTTGAAGCCAAAGAAGAAGAGAGACAAAGAAAGGAAAAAAAAATAGCATTCGGTGCTGCATCTGAAGAACATATTAGGCTCGATGTTGAAGCTAGCTTAAACGATACCAGCAAAGAGAACAAGCGTGGTATGAACAAGGGTGTGATAAGCTAGACCTCATTCCATAAGTTTTAAGTGTTACCTCTAACACACCGCCATTTCATGTGTGTAAGGACATACAAGAAAGATTCCTTAAGTTTCTAAAGAACAACACGATTATACAACCACCATCACACACATATCTGATAAGATGGTTTACAAGGTATATTCAGACCGTGGTGTGTCCACACCTTCCACCATCCATCAACATGAAGAAATTGAATCACGTAGGAGAAATAAGGGTGAGGCTTTTGTGCCTCAACCAAGCGTCTAACAATTGCACATGTTCAGTTGGAATTGTGTGGTCGGTGAACACTTTAAACGGACATTGAATCATATTTGAAATTTTATTTTCATAATATACAACATATTTAATAAAATACAAATTCTTAAAGTAAAATTTAAAATTTAATTAAAAACAACAGCAGTTGTAACTGCATCTAAGTAATCTTATTAAAATTATAGCTTTGCGAGTACACGTGAATGTGTCGCTACAAATGCCAATAAAGAGGACCAAAAGATTCCCGGTACATATAATCATCAAAGCTTTAAGTAAACGAGAAAGTTATACGATAAATTGTGGTGTAAAAGGGTTAAAATGAACCTTTCACCATCAATTAATCATAGGACTTCCCTTTTGTAATTGCGCATCCTCTCCCCTTTGCTCAACAGCAAATCTCAAGAAATCATCCTGAACAGGAATATTTAACTCTGAACATACGAGTTGGACAATTTTTCCGGTGACACCTCCAAAGGACATTTTGTTCAGTGTCACAGCAATAGAGAACTTATTGGTGACATCACAAAAACCTGTGGACCCACCCATTCCCGAGTGACCAAAGGCAATGGATGATCCATCCTTAGAAGTAAACCTCTTGAATCCTAGGCCAAAACCTCCATTTGGCAAAGCTAAATTCTCGTAGTCTCCTGTACCCAAGAATTCATCAATAATCCTAGGATTCCGGTAGACTTTTCCAGCAACATGGGTTTTAAGATTATTACCAATTCTGCTACTACTTGTATCATCGCTACTGCTACTTTGTCTATTAATATTGCTGCCCTCATCAGCCTCTAAATCATCAGAACATGAAACTTTTTCATAACTTCTGTTAGTACTAACAGCAGGCACAGTTGCTTGCTTCCGTCCAATGCATTTTCGCTTTTTGGGGACTTTCTGGGAAGAATTTAATTTGGGGATATGAGGATGGCTTCCAAGCAATGGCTTAGAAGCAGAGGAATGAGGTGGTGGTAACTTGCCCCCATTAGCTAGGGCTGCATAATAACGTGCAAGTGCCCGGGCAGATAAATGTCCATTGCCTGCTGGTATGATTGCACGACGAGCATTCAGTGTATTGAAAACAACAGGTAAAGTGGTTGCCACTTGAGCAATTTGCTGTGGTTGGAAGGTGGAGGGAAGGTCAGAACGATTACTTAGTGCTGATAACTTGCTTAAATCATCAGTATCTACAGTCAGGGCAGCAAGACGTGATTCCACACCTAAAAATATAAGCATTGAACCATGGTTATACTTTACAAAGAAATCAAAAGAGAAATACTATTATACACATTCGGTAAGAAAAAAAAAAATTATTTTCACATATAATAAAAACAAAGCCATTTTGTTTTTAAATTGATTCGTGATTTAAAAGATTTGTACATGACAACGAAAGTACAATCAATGAAAATAACATGTTGCTTCCACGTTATCTATACAATATTTAAAACCCAAATAAAACAAGGTGACATTTTGTAATTATTTCTAGAAATAAAAAAATGATAGAAAAATCTGGTACTAAACAGGTTCCAAATTTCGTTCCCTCCATCTATGATGGGCTACACAAAATAAAATAAAATGACAAATAATACTCATCAAAAGTTACCTGGCGGAATCCCTACATATAGCTCCCCTTCAATATGGAGGGGGCGAATTATTGCTTCTTCAAGAATCTCCTGAAATTTCTTCCCAGATGCATGCTGTTTTAATCCAAACAAATTATTAGAACATGAGAGAAACCCAAATGATAGGTAAATTTTAGGCTTAATACCCTATTTTGTCCCCAGTTTCGCTCGAAAATGTCAAATTAGTCCATCCTTTAAAAAATGCGTTAATTACGTCCTCACTTAATAAAATTTGCATCAATGAAATCCCTTCCGTTAAATCTGTACAAACTGCGTTACTTAATAAGAGAGAAAAATAATTAACGCCGTTTGTACGGATTTAACGGAAGGGATTTCATTGATGCAAATTTTATTAAGTGAGGACGTAATTGACGCATTTTTTAAAAGATGGACTAATTTGACATTTTCGACCGAAACTGGGAACAAAATAGGGTATTAAGCCTAAATTTTACTAGCAACTTTGTGAAAAAATAGTAACTTAAACCAACTGCAACCATGCCAAAATAACTATTTTACTTAAATAGGCAACCTCAAATAAGTGCTACAGTGAATGTCATCAACAAACAAATTGGAGAGACATGCCATACATAAGCATAAACACATAATCCTTACGCGTGAAAGTGGTTATTTTAAACAAATGGTGTAACTTTGCCTTGTACATACCAAAGTCGGTAAATCTTAAAAGACTTATGTGCATAGGTCGTGTTCGGAAGTATGAATTTTAGTCAAATAATTAGAAATTGAGTTTTGAAACACAATCCATTTGTTACGTAATTTATTTTTGTTTTTTGTTGAAGTTGTAATTCAAAACGGGACTTTTATTTTATTTCAAATCTGGTGAAAGGTATAAGCATTATTTTTTTATTGTATGGAAACTGTCCTCTATGCACGATTTCCTTTATTTTAGTTTTGAACACTATTGTTTTCATCGTTGGATAAGACTAATAAACTTTTGGTTGAATTGGGTCGTAAGGACAAGATGCATGAACTTAACAATTAAAGGCAACCGCAAATGAAAGTCACATGAATTCTGAGCCGAAAGAAATACAGTTAACACTTGTTATAGTTATGGTAACACCTAATAACCCTCCAAACACCATGATATGAAAACATACAACACTATTTGCGGCTTCTTTCAGTATAAGGTATGTGAGGCTTTTCATTGCACATATTTAATATTGATAAACTTCAAATTTTACCACTGTTCTCTCTCCATATACGTGTTGTGTTACTATTAACTAAAAAGGAGCATAAAAAACAAAAAGAAACGCCTTACACATTATTTGTGTTGCTATTAATTAAAAAAGCAGAAAAAATAAAAAAAGAAAGTCCCCTATCAAAGCACGAATTTCATATATTTCCATTTTAAATCGTTTTTTAAGCCACAATTTGTATTTTATTTTTAAACTGTACATGAGATTCATTATTTTATTTCATTGGAGTGTATGGAAGTCGTGCTTTGATAGACTNTGGTTTACAAGGTATATTCAGACCGTGGTGTGTCCACACCTTCCACCATCCATCAACATGAAGAAATTGAATCACGTAGGAGAAATAAGGGTGAGGCTTTTGTGCCTCAACCAAGCGTCTAACAATTGCACATGTTCAGTTGGAATTGTGTGGTCGGTGAACACTTTAAACGGACATTGAATCATATTTGAAATTTTATTTTCATAATATACAACAAATTTAATAAAATACAAATTCTTAAAGTAAAATTTAAAATTTAATTAAAAACAACAGCAGTTGTAACTGCATCTAAGTAATCTTATTAAAATTATAGCTTTGCGAGTACACGTGAATGTGTCGCTACAAATGCCAATAAAGAGGACCAAAAGATTCCCGGTACATATAATCATCAAAGCTTTAAGTAAACGAGAAAGTTATACGATAAATTGTGGTGAAAAAGGGTTAAAATGAACCTTTCACCATCAATTAATCATAGGACTTCCCTTTTGTAATTGCGCATCCTCTCCCCTTTGCTCAACAGCAAATCTCAAGAAATCATCCGGAACAGGAATATTTAACTCTGAACATACGAGTTGGACAATTTTTCCGGTGACACCTCCAAAGGACATTTTGTTCAGTGTCACAGCAATAGAGAACTTATTGGTGACATCACAAAAACCTGTGGACCCACCCATTCCCGAGTGACCAAAGGCAATGGATGATCCATCCTTAGAAGTAAACCTCTTGAATCCTAGGCCAAAACCTCCATTTGGCAAAGCTAAATTCTCGTAGTCTCCTGTACCCAAGAATTCATCAATAATCCTAGGATTCCGGTAGACTTTTCCAGCAACATGGGTTTTAAGATTATTACCAATTCTGCTACTACTTGTATCATCGCTACTGCTACTTTGTCTATTAATATTGCTGCCCTCATCAGCCTCTAAATCATCAGAACATGAAACTTTTTCATAACTTCTGTTAGTACTAACAGCAGGCACAGTTGCTTGCTTCCGTCCAATGCATTTTCGCTTTTTGGGGACTTTCTGGGAAGAATTTAATTTGGGGATATGAGGATGGCTTCCAAGCAATGGCTTAGAAGCAGAGGAATGAGGTGGTGGTAACTTGCCCCCATTAGCTAGGGCTGCATAATAACGTGCAAGTGCCCGGGCAGATAAATGTCCATTGCCTGCTGGTATGATTGCACGACGAGCATTCAGTGTATTGAAAACAACAGGTAAAGTGGTTGCCACTTGAGCAATTTGCTGTGGTTGGAAGGTGGAGGGAAGGTCAGAACGATTACTTAGTGCTGATAACTTGCTTAAATCATCAGTATCTACAGTCAGGGCAGCAAGACGTGATTCCACACCTAAAAATATAAGCATTGAACCATGGTTATACTTTACAAAGAAATCAAAAGAGAAATACTATTATACACATTCGGTAAGAAAAAAAAAAATTATTTTCACATATAATAAAAACAAAGCCATTTTGTTTTTAAATTGATTCGTGATTTAAAAGATTTGTACATGACAACGAAAGTACAATCAATGAAAATAACATGTTGCTTCCACGTTATCTATACAATATTTAAAACCCAAATAAAACAAGGTGACATTTTGTAATTATTTCTAGAAATAAAAAAATGATAGAAAAATCTGGTACTAAACAGGTTCCAAATTTCGTTCCCTCCATCTATGATGGGCTACACAAAATAAAATAAAATGACAAATAATACTCATCAAAAGTTACCTGGCGGAATCCCTACATATAGCTCCCCTTCAATATGGAGGGGGCGAATTATTGCTTCTTCAAGAATCTCCTGAAATTTCTTCCCAGATGCATGCTGTTTTAATCCAAACAAATTATTAGAACATGAGAGAAACCCAAATGATAGGTAAATTTTAGGCTTAATACCCTATTTTGTCCCCAGTTTCGCTCGAAAATGTCAAATTAGTCCATCCTTTAAAAAATGCGTTAATTACGTCCTCACTTAATAAAATTTGCATCAATGAAATCCCTTCCGTTAAATCTGTACAAACTGCGTTACTTAATAAGAGAGAAAAATAATTAACGCCGTTTGTACGGATTTAACGGAAGGGATTTCATTGATGCAAATTTTATTAAGTGAGGACGTAATTGACGCATTTTTTAAAAGATGGACTAATTTGACATTTTCGACCGAAACTGGGAACAAAATAGGGTATTAAGCCTAAATTTTACTAGCAACTTTGTGAAAAAATAGTAACTTAAACCAACTGCAACCATGCCAAAATAACTATTTTACTTAAATAGGCAACCTCAAATAAGTGCTACAGTGAATGTCATCAACAAACAAATTGGAGAGACATGCCATACATAAGCATAAACACATAATCCTTACGCGTGAAAGTGGTTATTTTAAACAAATGGTGTAACTTTGCCTTGTACATACCAAAGTCGGTAAATCTTAAAAGACTTATGTGCATAGGTCGTGTTCGGAAGTATGAATTTTAGTCAAATAATTAGAAATTGAGTTTTGAAACACAATCCATTTGTTACGTAATTTATTTTTGTTTTTTGTTGAAGTTGTAATTCAAAACGGGACTTTTATTTTATTTCAAATCTGGTGAAAGGTATAAGCATTATTTTTTTATTGTATGGAAACTGTCCTCTATGCACGATTTCCTTTATTTTAGTTTTGAACACTATTGTTTTCATCGTTGGATAAGACTAATAAACTTTTGGTTGAATTGGGTCGTAAGGACAAGATGCATGAACTTAACAATTAAAGGCAACCGCAAATGAAAGTCACATGAATTCTGAGCCGAAAGAAATACAGTTAACACTTGTTATAGTTATGGTAACACCTAATAACCCTCCAAACACCATGATATGAAAACATACAACACTATTTGCGGCTTCTTTCAGTATAAGGTATGTGAGGCTTTTCATTGCACATATTTAATATTGATAAACTTCAAATTTTACCACTGTTCTCTCTCCATATACGTGTTGTGTTACTATTAACTAAAAAGGAGCATAAAAAACAAAAAGAAACGCCTTACACATTATTTGTGTTGCTATTAATTAAAAAAGCAGAAAAAATAAAAAAAGAAAGTCCCCTATCAAAGCACGAATTTCATATATTTCCATTTTAAATCGTTTTTTAAGTCACAATTTGTATTTTATTTTTAAACTGTACATGAGATTCATTATTTTATTTCATTGGAGTGTATGGAAGTCGTGCTTTGATAGACTCTATTTTTTCTGCGTTTTTAATTATTAGCAACCTTTATGTGAAGTCCGTTTTCTGCTTTTTCGTTAATTGCAACACAAAATATGTATAGGACTTGGAGTTTATCTAATTTAAACATGTGCAATGAAAAATCTCATACCATAACCAAACCAGAGTGCACTATGCTGGTAATCATGGAGTTTGGAGGTTTATCATGAGTTATCATAAGTATGACAAGTGACAACTCTTTTTCTTCGGTCTCAGACATTCAATTGTGAGTCAGTTCTTGCATGTTGTCCTTACAATCCAATTCAACCAACAAATCTCTAACAATCTTATTCTGCGAGAGTCTTACATAGAAAAAATTATTGTGCGCAAAACTAAAAGAACGGAAATAGTTTATTGAAACACAATTTCCATACAATAAAAAAATAAAGCTCATACCTTGAAAAGAAAAATAAAATAGAAATAGTATTTGAAACACGACTTCAATAAAAAAGATTTTCAAGAAAATTACGTAACAAAGATTATTTGACTCGAATTTATGCTTGGAAGCACGATTTCTTTGTTTCAAAATCGTGCTTTTGAATACGACTTACCCACATACATAAAATTTTTAAAATTTATCCATTTCTAAAACTCCGATGTGAAATTATACCATTTGTGTTAAAAAACAAATGTAAGTTGCTATGTACACACATACCCACCAACCAATCACCCAATAGCTTTTTCCACCATTACAAGCATGGCAAGAGTGTTACAAAACATCACACTCTTACTGTATTTTTTAAAAACAAAGTTGTATTACTCTCTTTTTAACAAAATAAAATGATTTTTCATGTATAAAATCATCCTCTGCTTTTAACCTTAATTGCTCAGACAGTGGAGTGAAGCATAAAACTGGAGAATATGTTTTGAACAGGAATAAGAATTATATATGAATTAAAAATTGCAATTGACAAGGGCAAGTGCAAGCATTCATACCTCAATGATTCCACCACACAACCAGCCAAATGATAAATAATGATAAAACTGCTCCTTGCCTGGTTCAGTCTCAGGTACTGACTGACTAATGCAATTTAAACATCCATCCCAATCAAGCATCAGAAGAGGGTTTTCTTGAGTTATGTCTCCCATCGCGTTATGCAAACCAGATGTATGGTTAAGCACATGATGAACCTGAAATAGAATATTAAAACTGATGAGCCAGTAAAAGGCATTGCGTCAAGCCTTAGAAAGTATTTCGGAAAGAATAAAAAGAGTAACTGAAAGAAGTTAGATTAGAGGAGCAGTAAAGGGTGTGGATGACAGTTATTTTACCAGCTAATATTTTATTCGGTGGTAGCTGTGATGGCAGAGAAAAAAATAAACAAACTGAAAGTGGGCACTGTTTCTGAAAATTTACTCCTATGGGCAGTGGTCCCGGGGGAAGGCACATAATTTGAAGTCTTTTACTTTAGGCTCTTGATATAAGTTGAAAGGATTAGTGATAAATTAGGTTATGGGAGATTGTACCCCCTGATACCAGAAAAAAAGTATCCGACAAGGGTCCAGTCAAACTTTCCCTTCTTTAAAAGGTCCGTGAGG